TATCATGTTTGTAAAGTTCTGTCCAAAGTCCATTATTTGTAATTGCTGAATCATAAATTGCCAGGAAACATTATCAAATGCCTTTTGGGCATCTAAAAATATTAGTGCCAGTTGTTTCCCTGGATGTAATTCATAATATTCTAATATGTCCATTATCACTCTTAAATTATTTTAAATTTGTCTCTTTGGCAAAAAACCATTTTGGTCTGAATGTATAAATTCAGTTAAGTATCTTTTCAGTCTCTCTGCCATTATTGAAGTAAAAAATTTATAATCCACATTCAGTAACAATATCGATCCATAATTTTTTATCTTTGTCAAATCTGAGTCTTCTTTTGATATTAAGGTAATATTTGCTTCTATCCATGTATTTGGGAGTTTAGCCTCCAACAAAAGTTGATTGCAAACATCTTTCAGTGGTTCACTTAGTATATCTTGTAAAGCTTTATATAACTCCACCAGTAGACCATTTGGCCCTGGTGTTTTCTATTTTTTTTGTCTTCTTATGGCTTCTGTTATTTCTATCATTATTATTTTTTCCTCTAACATAATCTTACAGGTTTCTGGAATTTTTGGAAGGTTATTTTCTTCCAGATATTGGATCATTCTCTCTCTTGGAATTTCTTCTATGCCATATAGTTTCTTGTAATAGTCTTTAATTATCTTTTTTATTTCTTCACTTTAAAATTGTAGGTAACCTTTTTCATCTATCAAATTATTTATCATTTTCTTCTCCTTCTGTTTTTTAAGTTTATAAGCTAACCATCTTCCGGGTTTATTTCATTTTCGAAAAAAATTGGTCTCAAGCATGATGGGTTGTCTTAATCTTCCTGCTCCAATAAGACTAAGCCTGAAGTGTAGATGCGCTTCTGCTGTGCCATCGCACCCCAGTTTTAGACTTAGTCTTCTGCTTTACAGATGCGTTTTTCAGCTTCCAGAAACAGAAAGATTAAGACAGGTTGTACACCTATGAAGTTCCTTTCCTTCATCCTGGACATTAGATTCCTTCATCCTTATAAATTTGAAAATTGAAATTTTTCTGGACTTTCTTGATCAAGCAAATCCTACTTGAAAATTCCCTGCAGCCTGCTGCCTGCCTGAATTTGGCCTGCCTGGCTTCGCATGAGCCATCGTGCACTTCAATTCCTCTCAGAGGCATTGGAGGGCTTCCCTGACTGGCACGCAGGCTGAGGGCTTCAATCCCACGCCGGTTGCTTCGAGCTCATGGTGAATTGCCACTGCCTTCCTGACGCCCCCTGGCTGGAGAGAGAGCGGTTCGTAGCACTCCTTGGCTCCGCAAGCCAGCTGGTTGGCGCGGAAACAAGATCTGAGTGTTTTGAAGCACTCTGCAGCTCCACAAGCCAGCTGATCGGTGTGGAGACAAGGACTGAGCGGCGGATTACCGGCAGGTCAGAAATGTCTTAAAGCGATCTCCGTGCGTTCCATAGGAGCCCAGGAGCTTCCTTTTGGAACTAGGGCTCAGTTACTGAGACTCGGACTCCAAGCCACAGAAGCCTCAGCTAGACTCCCTTACAGTCTCAGAGGCCTCTTGGTGGTTATTTTTGGCGTGCTTTTCTTGCAGCCGCCATTTTGTTGATAGCCACCATTTTGTTTTTTTGGCAACCTAATGTTTCAATTGGACCTGGGGAGGGCAAGTTTGTCCCCACAAGGATGCACTGCCTACTTTGTTGACCCCCATGACCCCCCCTCATCTGGGTCCCTATCCATACTTAATTGGATTCCTTGAGGGAGGTGCTTCTCTTCACTAGTTATTCACAGCGCTTGAGGGGGGGCGCTTCACCACTGAATTGATCTCTCAAAGGCCTGCTGTTTGACAGCTAGCACAAGTCTCCTTTGAAAGGAGAACAGGACAGAAAAGGGTTTGCCTAACTACAATGGCAGACAACTCTTTTCCTCTGCCCTTACAGGACACTACCGAGCCCCCTGCCAAAAAGAAACACAAGGCCTCTACTGAGGGGGTGGGGAAGAATATGTTGAAGGCCAAGGTGCAGTCCTCCAAGAAAACCAAGGCAGCTAGCAGGGAGACCATTGAGCATCTCCAGATCCTGGAAGAGGAATCCTCCAGGCCAAGGTTAATGAATATAGGCCAACTACAAACCACCACTGCACCTGCAGAGTCCATTTTTGAACCCTTGTCTGCCCACTGTAATTTGGCCCCAGGGGCCTGATCTCCCCCCAGGGATATGGCACAGACTGAGCCCATCATGTCACTGAATCGAGAAACACAGGGGGTTACTGCACAGGGCACTGTTTTATCCAGGCCTCAGGCTACCTTTATGCCTACTGCAGCAGGCCTTCGCCCCCCTGAATCACAATCATTATGAGCATTTTCAGGCTATGATAGCCCAGGCCTTTACCCAATTCATGGCCTCCTCTGTCTCCCAACATCCTCTACGGCCCTTTCTTCACCTGAATCACCAGACCTCACAGAGGACGTTTCCTCAGACTCAGAATCTGCAGGCTTTGACCTTCAGGCCTGATCCTATCGGATGATGAGGGTACCTCAACATCAGATCCGGCTACACCCATTGGTTTTTTGATCATTCCCTTTTCAACTCCCTATTACTCAAGGCCTGCACAACTGCCAACATCACTCCTGAGCAGAAGACCCCAGCTCCATCTGCATCAAAGGGTCCCAATCCACTGTACGCTGGACCCATGGTACCTCAGAAGCATGTCCCTTGCCCCCCTTCTTCCGCAGCACTGTGCAGAAGCAGTGGGATAACCTGGGTTCTATTCCCAATCTGGGATCTGCAGAGAAAAATTTGTTCAATGTGGTTCCCTCTTTCGCCTCCTTATTGGAGGTCCCTCAAATTGACGAGACTCTGAATTCTCTGTTTTCCAATGCAAACATCCCAGGGGACATAACTGAGGTGCTTAAGGCAGAGGACCAAAAGATTGAAGCTGCTTTGCGCAGATCGCATCAGGCATCGGCCTGGGTGATCAAAGCCTCCACATCCATGGCCTTCTTCTCTCGGGCTTCAGTACTGTGGCTGCGTGAACTCCAGGACGTGATTTCCCCTGACCAGGTTTGTGTTCACCAAAACCTTGGTAACTTGGTGGCCACATCCCAGTACATGGCTGACGCCTCCCTACATGCCGCCAGATACTCTTCACGGGCCATAACGGTGGACATTTCAGCCCGCAGACTTCTGTGGCTTAAGAACTGGCAGGTAGACCTCAAAGCAAAGTGGCGCCTCGCTACCAAACCTTATGCGGGGGAGCATCTTTTTGGTGCGGCCCTGGATCCTTACCTGGTAGAGGGCAAGGACAAGTGCAAGACCCTCATTAACACCACTAAGAGGAGAGATAAGTGCTCAGGGGCTGGGTCATCACAGAACCATTATTGTAGACAGTCCTTTCAGCCGGCCTCAAACTGGGACTGGGCCTAGGTGTCTCATCCTTCTACCAGAGGCCAGAGCGTCAGCAGGACCATGCCGCATCCAGATTCCGGCCACAAGTCCAGGCCAAGCGGCCCTTTCGAGGCTCAGGAGGAAGATCCTTCAAACGAGGCAAGTGACTCCATGGGCATCCCTCCCATAGGAGGCCAGCTGTTCCTTTATTCTGACATATGGGCAGCCACCACCACGGACTCATGGGTCTTAAACACCATATCTCAGGGTCTGATACTGGAGTTTTGGTCCAGTCCACCGGATCGATTCCAGACTTGCCCCATCCCCACGAACAAGAACAGAATGGCCCTCATGTCAGAGGCCATATCTCACCTGTTACAGATAAGGGCCATAGAACCAGTGCTGCAGGACCAGGAAAGATGGGGATTCTACTCAACTCTATTCATCGTTCCCAAGTCTTCGGGGAATTGGAGGGCAATCCTAGATTTGAAAGGTCTAAATTACTATCTGATGTACAGGAAGTTCAAGATGCAGTTGTTACAATCAATCTTGGCCAGCATCAGAAAAGGGGACTTCCTGACATCAATAGACTTGACAGAGGCATATTTACATATCCCTATTCTCCCTGGGCATCACAAATTTCTCAGGTTTTCTTACACCCAACAGCACTACCAGTACAGGGCCTTACCATTTGGCCTCTCTACAGCACCCAGAGTATTTATGAAGATATTGGCAGTGTTGGCCGCCCATCTGAGACAGACCACAATCAGAGTTCAGTGTTATCTGGACGATATACTGATTCAGTCCTCCTCCCTCCAAAAGGCTCGGTCAGTCCTTGCCCTCGCTATCAGAACCTTTCAAGAGCACAGCTTTTCTGTCAATTTCCAGAAAAGCCATACGGTGCCCTCTGCCCAGCTTCTCCATTTAGGAGCAATCATAGACACTAGCAATTGCACCGGTCACAGGACCGGTGGGACAGCATTCGGGCCCTTGTCCATCGAATCCGGAGAGACAAAGTGGTCACCTTAGCCTTGTTGTTGCAACTCTTGGGAAAGATGGTATCCTGTGTACAGATTGTTCCATGGGCACGCCTTCATGCCCGGGAACTGCAGTGGCTTCTTCTTCCATTTCAGAGGCTACACACCAGTGCTTCCAACCAGAAGGTTCGAGTTCCACGGCCGATGTTGAACTCCCTTCGATGGTGGGCTTCCCCAGCATTGTAACAGGGCACAGAGTTCAGAGAACCAGCCAGAATCACCCTCACCATGGATGCCAGCCTATTCGGCTGAGGGGCACACCTCCAGCCGCATTGGGCTCAGGGTCGGTGGTCCCAGGAGGATTTAAAAAACAATATAAATGGGCTGGAACTCAGAGCTATACATCTGGCTCTACAACATTTCAGCAGCATAGTAGCAGGACACCATGTCCTGGTACTTACCAACAACATTGCTGCCAAGGCCCACATCAACAGACAGGGGGGACCAGGTCCAGGCCTCTCATGCAGGAGGCCCAATTGTTGGGGTCTTGGGCAGAGTTGAATCTTGCTTCCATCGGGGCAGAACACATATCCGGAGTGAACAATCAACAGGCGGACTCATTAAGCAGAGCCACTGTGGACCATGCCAAATGGCGACTGGACCCGGGAGTATTCAGGGAGATCGTGAACAGGTTTGGTTCCCCAACCTTAGACCTTTTTGCTTCCCCAACCAACTCCCAACTCCTGAGATTCTTTTCCAGGTTCCCATTTCCGACAACAGAAGGGACAGATGCCCTCTGCAGCCCCTGGCCCAGGGAACTGCTTTATGCCTTTCCTCCCTTGCCACTCCTTCCTGCTACGATCCGCAAGACCTTACACGAACAGGCGGAGATCCTCCTGATTGCACCGCATTGGCCGAGACGTCCATGGTTTGCCGACCTGATGGAGTCTCCCCTCCGTGGAGGATCCCAGCAGGTCGTATTTCCCTCACTCAGGGGGAAACTCCAGCACCTGGACCTGCAGTGGCTCCAGGTAACCGTTTGGCACTTGAGAGGCAGGCCTTGAGCCGAGACTCATATTCGTCGAGGGTGATAACCATGATTCAACAATCCAGGCGCCCCTCGACGAATAGGATATATGATGCCACATGGAGAAGTTTCTGCACTTGGTATTCGGGTCATAAGTTGGAACTCTCAGGTATCTCTGTTCCGATTATATTGGAATTTCTGATGGATGGGTTGGATAAGGGATTATCCCCGAACACCATCTGTAGACAGGTCACAGTTCTTGCCACGATACTCACATGTGACAATGCCACTCCCTTGACACACCACCCTATGGTTCATTCCTTTTTAAAGGGAGCGACCAATGCCAAGCCACCGACGGTGCATCGTTACCCTTCATGGGACCTACACCAGGTCTTACAGGCCCTCGTTTCACCACCACTTGAACCTATTGCCACATGTTTGCTTAAACTATTATATATGAAGGTGGCATTCCTTGTGGTGGTTATGTCAGCCAGGCGAATTTTGGAACTGGCCGCTCTTTCCATCAGGGAGGACATGTGCACTTTCCATACAGACAGGGTAACCCTCAGATTTGACCCTTCCTTTATTCCCAAGGTAAATTCCTTGTACCATAGATCCCAGGAGGTAGTTTTACCAAATTTCTGCCCTATCCCATGCCATGGCCTTGAAAAACAGTGGCACACGCTTGACGTTCGCAGGGCTCTGCAACATTACATCAAACGGACTTCAGCCTTCTATAAATCCAAAGCATTGTTTGTGTCCTTTCAACCTTCATCCATGGGCCAGAAGGTGTCTTCCTCGACAATAGGAAGATGGATTAGGGCCTGCATCACCCTAGCATACAAGGCACAATCACTAACAGTTCCTAGGCATATCACGGTCCATTCCACCCGGGGCGCCACCACTTTGGCAGCTTGGGTGATCCAGGCATCTATAGGAGAGATTTGCAGGGCGGCTACATGGTCCTCGCCCTTGTTCGTCATTATAAAATTGACAAATATGCCTCTTCAGATGCCTCCTTTGGTCGCAGGGTGTTACAACACATGTTGTCATCTAGCGAGACCCAGGCCCAAACTAATTCCCCCCTTTAGGGACACAGGGCTTTGGTATGTCCCATTTGTGGATTCTCCATCCAATCATGCTGGAGAAAGGGCGTTGTCTTACCTGAACGCCTTTTCTCAGCATGATGATGGAGAATCCACTCCCTCCCATCTAGGGTCATTTGGCCCTGGTTCCAGTGTTAGAAAAGCACACACGTCGGATTAATGTCTATGTATCGCCTTAGTCTCAAACTGGGGTGCGATGGCACAGCAGAGGCGTATCTACACTTCAGACTTAGTCTTTTTGGAGCAGGAAGATTAAGACAACCCATTTGTGGATTCTCCATCATCATGCTGAGAAAAGGCGTTCAGGTAAGACAACGCCCCTTTTGCTCTTTTTATTTGCCTGCCAATTTTTCTGAATCCAACAGATTTAGTTTGTATTTTATTGCTTCCATTTCTCTTTTCAGAATGTTTTTTTGCAGATTCATTTGCAGTTCTGATTCTAGTTTTCCAAATTTTTCTTTTAATAGTACATACTGCTGTCTTTTCTGTTTTTTTGCCATTTATGTTATAGCTATACCTCTAAAGTATTCTTTGGCTGTATCCCATACATTTTGTAATATTGTATCTTCTTTTTTGTTTTCTTTTTTTGCTAGTTCTATAAATTCTCTTTCTTTTAATATAGATTGGTTCAAAGTCCATCTTGATTTTTTTTTTTTTTGTATTCCTCTCCACATCACTTTTAAAGGGTTATGGTCTGCCCATGTACCTGGTTCTATCTCAATTTCCTGCATATTTATCCTCAGTTCAGATGTCATCCAGATCATATTGATTCTGGACCAAGATTTTTGACTGTTCAAATAAAATGTATAATGTAATTTTCCTGGATTAATTTCCCTCCAAACATCTTGTACTCCAATTTCTTCTATCATACTAAAAAAAGGTTAGGTAATCTTTTTCTTCTTCTTCCAGTTTTTCTTGTTTTACTACTTTTATTGTCTAATGTCCCATCCATCATCACATTAAAGTTTCCTACTAAACAAATATTTTTGTACTTCATTTCTATTATTTTTCTATGGAGATTTTGATAGAATTCTTCCTGGTTATTATCTGGTGCGTAGATTACTACTAACAATGTTTGTTTTTGATGTAAGTATATTTCTACCATCACAATTCTTCCTTCTTCATCTGAATAAATCATTTCAGAATCTATTCTCTCTTTAATATATATATAGCAACACCTCTTTTTTCTATTGTGCTGATACAAAATTAAGTTTTCCAATTTTGGGTATTCCAACAGCTTATAATATTATTTTTTTATATGTGTCTTTTGCAAAACATTATATCTATATTTAATTTCTGTAGTTTTCTAAAAAAATGTTTCTTTTTGATGGGGAGTTTAGTCCATTTATATTCACTGAAAAAAAATCTGTTTTCTTTCTCCATTTCAGTTACTTATATTTAGGTCTAGTTGATCTTGTGATCCTCTGTTCTCTGGCAATTCCTTCACTCTCTTGATTAGATTTATCTTTCTGTTCTCCTTTTTGTATAATTGCTTCTTCAGTTGCTTCTTTTATTTGTTTCTGATCTTTTCTCTCCTCTTGTTGATGATGCACTCCTTCATCTAAGAATGTTCGGGTTCTTTCATCAAAATCTTCTGCTTTCCATACTGAATCCAAATGGTATCTTGTATTATTCCAGTTGATTAAAATCTCTTCTGGCATTAACCATCTAAAATTTATGCCTTTTACAATCAGCTTTGTAGTTAAGAAATGATATTGTCTTTGAGTATCTCTTATTCTCTTGGGTATCTGCTTTAAGACCACAATTTCTTTATTTTTGTATTCTAATGCATTTGGGTCAATATAAAAAGGGAAAAATGACATTGCCATAAGAAGGCAAAAAGAGGAAATAGATGACTTTTTGCTAGTCAGCTAACTAAAGTAGGTAGGAAGCACATCACAATAGTAATGGGGGACTTTAACTACCCTGACATCAACTGGGAGACAAACTCTGCACCAAGTGGAAGATCAAATAGGTTCTTAACAAACCTAGCAGACAACTTTGTCTCCCAAAACGTAGAGAAGGGAACTAGGGGATTAGCCATTTTGGATTTAATTCTCACTGACAGAGATGAAATGATAGAAGGTGTTGAAGCCATAGGAACCCTGGGAGGAAGTGATCATGCAATATTGGAATTCAACATTATAGAAGCACAAGCAATAGAACATAGTCAAACTAGAGTCTTGGACTTCAAGAGAGCTAATTTCAATAAACTTAGAGAGGGCTTGGGAAGGATTCCATGGATGAGAATCCTCCAGGGGAAAACAACTCAAGAAGCTTGGGAAATTTTGAAAAATGAGATAATAAAAGCATAGTCTAGCACAATACCAACAAAGAGGAAAAATAACAGCTCTCAAAAGAAACCAGCATGGCTGCATAAAGAACTCTCTGACAAATTGAAAGATAAAAAGGACAAGTATAGAAAGTGGAAAGAGGGGCACATAACTAAGTCAGAATAATAGCAAATAGCCGAGCCTCCAAAGATGAAGTGAGGAAAGCCAAGGCTCAAAATGAACTAAGGCTTGCGACCAAAGTCAAACATAACAAAAAAAGCTTCTTCCAACATGTAAAAAACAAGAAAAAAGTGAAGGAAATGATTGGTCCATTAGTGGGTGAAAGTGGCAAGAAGGTGACAAGCAACAGGGAGAAAACAGAACTATTTAACTTGTTTTTTGCATCTGTCTTTACATAAAGGGAAAAAACAGACCAATCTATCAAAAATAGTGCCATAAAAAACAGAATAGAAACGTAAGTTAAGATAGGCAAGAAAATGGTAAGTGAGCACCTGTCCAGCTTAGATGAGTTCAAATCGCCAGGACCAGATGGATTACACCCCAAGGTTCTCAAGGAACTGGCAGATGTGATCTCAGAACCACTGAACTATATTTTTCAAAGATCCACAAGGGGAACTACCAGAGGACTGGAAAAGAGCTGATGTAGTTCCCATCTACAAAAAAGGAAAAAAAATGGACCTAGGAAATTACAGACCTATCAGCCTGACTTCAATACCTGGGAAGATCCTGAAAAAGATAATCAAACAACGAATCAACGAACACCTAGAGGCAAACAAAGTCATTACTAAAGGCTATCAAAAATAGATCATGCCAGACAAACCTTATTGCATTCTTTGACCAAGTGACAAAATTAGTGGATCAGAGGAATGCTGTGGATATAATTTATTTGGACTTCAGTAAGGCATTTGATAAAGTTTATCACAACCTACTATTTGACAAGATAGAAAAATGTGGGGTAGAAAGCACCACCACCAGATGGATCCATAGTTGACTGACCGGCCATACTCAGCATGTAGTCCTCAATGGAACCGCATCTAGATGGAGGGAAGTGTGTAGTGGGGTGCCCCAGGGCTCTGTTCTGGGCCCAGTGCTCTTCAATATCTATATCAAAGATTTGGATGAGGAGATAGATGGGGAACTCATCAAATTTGCAGACGACACCAAGCTGGCAGGAATAGCCAACACTCCAGAAGACAGGCTTAAGATATAGAAGGATATGGACAGATTTGTACACTCGGCGCTATCTAAAAAAATGAAATTCAATGGTGAAAAAAGCAAGGTTCTACATTTAGGCAAGAAAAACCAAATGCACAGGTATAGCATAGGGGGTACCTTGCTCAATAGTAGTAACTGTGAGAAGGACCTCGGAGTCCTAGTAGACAATCACCTAAATATGAACCAGCAGTGTGCTGCAGCTGCCAAAAAGGCCAACACAGTGCTAGGCTGCATTAACAGAGGGATAGAATCAAGATCACGTGAAGTGTTAATACCACTTCACAATGTCTTGGTAAGGCCACACTTGGAATACTGCATCCAGTTTTGGTCACTGCGATGTAAAAAGATGTTGAGACTCTGGAAAGAGTACAGAGAAGAGCAACAAAGATGATTAGGGGATTGGAGGCTAAAGCATATAAGGAACGGTTGCTGGAATTGGGTATGTCTAGTTTAATGAAGAGAAGGTTGAGGGGGGACATGATAGCAGTGTTCCAATATCTCAGGGGCTGCCACAAAGAAGAGGGTGTCAAGCTATTTTCCAAGGTGCCTGAAGGCAGGACAAGAAGCAACAGGTGGAAACTAAGCAAGGAGAGAAGCAACTTAGAACTAAGGAGAAACTTCATGACAGTTAGAACAATTAACCAGTGGAACAACCAGCGGTGAATGCGCCAACACTGGAGGTTTTTAAGAAGAGACTGGACAGCCATTTGTCTGAAATGGTACAGGGTTTCCTGCCTGAGCAGGAGGTTGGAGTAATGACCTCCAAGGTCCCTTCCAACTTTACTATTATTATTATTAAGACCACAATTTCTTTATTTTTGTATTGTAATGGTTCATCTCTAACTTTTCTCAGTATTTTATCTCTTGTTGTTTTCTTTATAAATCTCACATGTACTTCTCTGGGTAGTTTGTATTTCCTTGTAGCTTGAATTCATTTGAAATATTTCATCTATCTCCACTTGCATCTCTGCTCTGTCTGCTTTCAAAGCCTCAGCCAGGACATCAATAATCACAGCTGCTCTATTTTCTTCTCTGTCTTCAGGAATATTTTGAAATCTTAAGTAGTGTTATGCTTTCTCCATTTCTAAGATTGTCACTGCGTCTTCTGGATTTTGGTTTGCTTGTTGTAATTTTCCATTTTCTTGCATTAGTATTTCCAATTTTGGTCAATATCATCTGATTTATTTTCCATTTTCTGAATTCTTTGTTCATTTTTGACAATCATTTGATGGTGGACTTCAAATTGTGTCTTTATGTCCAAGATTTGTTTGTTTAATTTATCAAAGTTACTTTTCATTTCTTCATGATTTTTTTGCATTGATTCTTGAATCAATTTTAATGTAGTTTGCATCTCATTTTGAACAGTGCTTATTTTCTCATGCTGCAACATTGTTACAATAGATCCCTGGATTGTTGGGCTAGGTGTTCCAACAGAGGGTGCAGAGGAAATCTTTTTCATAAGTCTGGTGATGTTTGATGTACTCATTTTTCCAGCCAACTATCTTAGGCTAAAATCCAAACCATAATTGTTCTCACTGTCAGGAAGTTTCTCCTTAGTTCAAGGTTGCTTCTCTCCCTGATTAGTTTCCACCCGTTGCTTCTTGTCCTGCCTTCAGGTGCTTTGGAAAATAGCTTGATTCCCTCTTCTTTATGGCAGCCCCTGAGATATTGGAATACTGTTATCATGTCCCCCCTTGTCCTTCTCTTCGTTAAACTAGACATACCTAATTCTAGCAACCGTTCCTTACATGTTTTAGCTTCCAGTCCCCTAATCATCTTTGTTGCTCTTCTCTGTACTCTTTCTAGAGTCTCAACATCTTTTTTACATCATGGTGACCAAAACTGGATGCAGTATTCCAAGTGTGGCATTACCAAGGCATTGTAGATGGTATTAATACTTCACGTGATCTTGATTCTATCCCTCTGTTAATGCAGTCTAGCACTGTGTTGGCCTTTTTGGCAGCTGCAGCACACTGCTGGCTCATATTTAGGTGATTGTCTACTAGGACTCCGAGGTCCCTCTCACAGTTACTACTATTGAGCATGGTGCCACCTATGCTGTACTTGTGCATTTGGTTTTTCTTGCCTAAATGTAGAACCTTGCTTTTTTCACCATTGAATTTCATTTTGTTAGTTAGTGCCCAGTGTTCAAGCATGAAAAGAGCGAACTACTTTAGATTAAATCCAATATCTCAATGAGAGAAAACAAAATAAAACAAGAAAAAAGCCAACTATCTTAGGCTAAAATCCAGCCAAAAAGAACGAGCCAACTTCTTTAGGCCAAATCCAAATTCTCCAGTCGAATCTCAGATGTAAAATGTCTGCTGTCTCCAAGTAATTCCTGTTTTGGTTATATCCAGAGTCAACAAATATAATTGTAGAAAGTCTTTTCACTTGTAAACTCACACAAAGGCACTTTGTTTACACCCGGTGTTGTTTCAAGGTCAAACACTTTCAGATTCTTGTATTATTTAATGTTACTATAGTATCTTCTTTCACCACTAGATGTCCTCATACATTGTTTTGTCAATATCTGGTTTTGAAAGATTATCAAAAAGTTTTTTTTTAAAGTTCTTTATAGGTTATTTACCCTTGAAATTATATCTAAAAATGTTTTCCACATTCTGTAGGTTAAGTAGTCTTTCTTTGAGTCAGTCTATGTTCAGTTTTTAAGAGTTCTTTTATATTCCTTAAAATCCTTCCCCCTTCTGTAGTTGCTAACCTCTTTTAACTCTCTTCTTCCCTAGTCCTTCTGGGGTCTTTACTTTATAGCTCTTCCCAATCAGGAGATCAACATTCTTAAGTCCAAAAGGAAAAGGAAAAAGAGCAGGCTCACCCAGTTTCAGCATGCTGTTGACAATCATCTGTTTAGCGGAGCACCATGGCTCCTTGCTTTTCTTCCAGCTGGTGACAACTTGGGCTGCCTGGGCTTAGCAGGCAGCCTTTTCTCCGTCCTTTTAGAGGATTTCTTCAGTCTGTCTGGACCGACCACTGTATGGTCCGGACTCCTGAGTCATCCCTCCTTCTTCATTGTCCCTCCAGGGCAACTTTCCAATCCCTTGGGGTCATCGGGCAGAACAAAATCAGGCTAAGAAGCCGGAGCCCCAACTTCTTCCACCCCTCTTGTCGAATGCCAAACTGTTATTTTTCCTATTTTTACATGTTAATTTGTTTTGGATTCTAAGAGCCATTGAGAACATGGCATGCTAGGAAGTGATTTAGTAGAGTTGGAAAAATAATATATTAAGTTTTATTTATGTGTTATTTTGGATGTTAAGAATATAGAAAAGGTAAAACCTTGTCTTCTAAGATTGAGGGTTGGTTACCAATTGTAGATGACCTGTGTCAATGAGGACTGACCACTTTGTTGTGGAATTTGAGAAACACCATTTGAGTATCCATTCTGAAGTGCATTCAGATTCTATGCAGCTAAAAACCTGCAGGTTTTCTAATTATATCTTTGCGAGTTAATTTCCCTATGTTCCTGAAAGTTCTTGCAGGCAGATATTTGTCATAATTTGTGTAGCATACTCAAAAGCATTTTGCCTTAAAGATAACAACTATATTCAGTATTTTGAAAAAAAAGGGCTAATATGTTAATGACCTGAAAGAGAGACACTGTGATTATAAAATATGAAATATACATGATAACAAACAGTTTGATGTGGTGGTTAAGACACTGGGCTATAAATAAGGAGATGTTCCTTCTACTCCTTATTAGGCACAAATCCAGCTGGTGACCTTAGGCTATCACTCTCTCTCAGTCCTAGAAAGAATGTAATGACAAGCCAATTCTGCACATCTTGCCAAAGGAATTACTGAATCTTGCTCAGACAGCAGTTAACATTGAATTGAAGATACCCTCAATTTTCCTTTGCATTTTTCAAAGCAGGATAGTTCAGCTTGAAATAATTTTATGGAGTTATGATTTCAAACTCTTGCTGTTAATTTCTTTAATTTTTTTTAAAAAATACAGTTTCATTCTTTCTTGCAAAGCATTGTATACAACAACAGTATGGGAGACTCTATTGCATTTGATGAAAACAGAGAATTGATTACGAGTTTTGATGTTGCAAACTGGATTACTTTCCACAATAATTCCATTTCTCGAGTCAAAGTTGGAACACTGGAACCTCAGGCTCCATCAGGCAGAGAATTAACTCTTAATGACAATCAAATTGTATGGCACAGAAGCTTTAACCAGGTGAGAAGAAGCTGCAGATTCTCAACTAATAACAAAAGTAAAACACTCTTTGGAGCAATTGTCAAATAAATTTCAGTAATTGAAGAAAATCATATTTTGGTCTTTTGGAAGCTTTCAAGATGATGACATATAACATATTCTGCATATGCAATTGAGCATTAATATGTCCACAGGAAGCTTAAGGCAAATGCTTCCAATTGTGTTTATAAATTGCCAATGTAAATACAGATAGCCTTAGACATACAACTGTTCATTTAACAACTCTTCAAATTTACAAGGGACTGAAAAAAAAGCTATTTGTGACCTGTTTTCAAAGGAGAGCCTGCCGCTTCCTTTGTTGTTACATGTTCATATTTTGGGCATGTGACAATTGACTCAGATTAATGAACAGTTGCATGTCATATAACCATGATTTGCAGAGTTTTTAGTTAATTTTCAGCAAAAGAAAATGCCCATTTATCAGAATCAATTTTCTTAACAAACATGCAGTTGACTTAACAATCATGCACCATATTGTGGTTGTAAATTGGGGATTTCCTGTAGTGCCACATTCTGTTTGACTAATCCAAACATGTGCCAGATCCTATGAAAACATAACTTTCTGCCATACAGGTCTTCTGCTAGAACATCCAAAGAAGTCAATGCCAATTCCTTCTCATTAACTCAAGTTTTCTCATTTTCATTTTCTTCTGCCTCTTCATCCCATCTGTGGGTTTCTGTTTTGGAAAGTTCTATTAATGCAGGTATTTTATTCTCTAATTCTCTCATACCTTTTACTGTTCAGGGGCTTCCTATTTCTGTGTGCAATGACCACTGCTACCCAGGCTCCAGCAGAAAGAAGAAGGAAGGAGAGAAATTTTGTTGTTATGATTGTGTGTCATGTTCAGAAGGGCAGATCTCTGATGAAATAGGTAAGACAAAATGACTTACTTTACTTTTGATTGATCAGACCAGTGCATCTGTTTGTTTGCTTGTTTGGAACAAAACAAGATAAAGACCCTCCCCCAATAATATTCTCTCTTCTTTCACTCTGTCTTCCTCAATTTCTATAGCTTAGACAAAATAGGGTCCTCCAATTTCTTGTTCATTCATTCATTAAAATACCATATCAACTTGATCTATTAGTACCAAGTATTTATAATATTTATTTATACAAACCTGTCTATGGAGCTGCAAATATTGCTAGTCCAAATTGGAATGGCACTTAAGAGCAGGGCTTTTTTGTCATAGAACACCCAGAACAAAGTTCCAGCACCTTTTTGGGATGGAATCTTGTAGGGTAGGCAAGGCGGGTTGTATGGCATGTGTGAGTTCTGGCACCTTTTTTTTTTTAACAAAAAAAGCACTGCTTAAGAGTGTACTAGTAATTACCTGATTTTACAAATGAACAAAGGGGACAGGAAATACTTTTATTTGCTTTTGATTTTCAAGCAACACCCTCTGTACATCATGAAGGATCTATATTATGAGACTGATATATGATTTTGCATTAAAAAAAAGAGAATTGCTATCCTCTCTTTGCAAAATAGGTAACTTGTATCAACATAAATTGTACTCTATATATTCTATACTGAAAGTTTGGTATGTTGCAAGGATATCTTCTTTTTTCTTTTTTCCAGATATGGATGTCTGCATGAAATGTCCAGAAAATGAATATCCTAACAATATCCAAAATCAATGTATCCCCAAAATGTTTACGTATCTCTCTTATAAAGAACCTTTAGGAATCCTCTTTATTACAATCGCTATTGTTTTCTCTTTGATTTCAGTCTTTGTGCTTGGAATCTTTTGGATGCATCGAGAGACTCCAATTGTTAAAGCCAATAACTGGAGCCTCACTTGTATCCTCCTCCTCTCCCTTCTCCTCTGCTTCCTCTGCTCCTTCCTCTTCATGGGAAGACCTGAAAAGATAACCTGTCTTCTCCGGCAAATGACTTTTGGCATTATCTTCTCAGTGGCCCTTTCGTCTGTATTGGCAAAAACCATGACTGTGATTCTGGCATTTATGGCAACCAAACCAAGCTCCAGAATGAGGAAATGGATAGGGAAAGGACTTGCCAATTCTATTGTTCTTTCAGGTTCTTTCATTCAGGTGGGAATTTGCACTCTTTGGCTGAGTATCTCTCCCCCTTTCCCAGATACAGACCTGTACTCACTGAAGGGAGAAATCATAATGGAATGCAATGAGGGCTCAGTGATCATGTTTTACTGTGTCCTGGGTTACATGGGCTTCCTGGCTAGTGTCAGCTTTAACATTGCTTTCCAAGCCAGGAAGCTGCCCAGCAGTTTCAATGAGGCCAAGTTCATCACTTTCAGCATGTTGGTCTTTTGCAGCATTTGGTTGTCATTTGTTCCAACCTACCTGAGCACTAAGGGGAAATACATGGTAGCTGTGGAGATCTTTTCTATCTTATCCTCCAGTGCTGGTTTACTGGGTTGTATATTTGCCCCCAAATGCTACATCATTCTTTTGAGACCTGAGATGAACAAAAAGGAACATTTAATAAGGAAAGAAACATAACTGTCTTTTTTATTCAGAGTTATTGAAACATCTTTAGATTATTGTGAATTGTTTTGTGGGTTTTTTTGTACATTAACTTACTTTGATAGAATTTGGAAAAATCTACGTGACCTTGATTTAACTTCATTTATAGATAAAACTTGATATAGAGAAAACAGTTCTTAAAAGGATATCTGTTTCAAGATCAAAGAATGGATGTGTCCTATCCAGGTTAATGTGAATGACATTGAAGGAAAAGTTTGGAGCATGTTTTGGAGAATGTTCAGATTTTATATGTTTTTCATAGTAGTTCATTAAAGGTATAGTTTATTTGGCCAGATTCCTTCTTCGATTATATATTAATTGTAATACCATTTCCCTGTTTGTCATGTAATATGCAAATTTTGAAATAAATTCTCAGTCCAAGCACAGATATTAATTTTAACTAAATCATGTGCTTCTTCAAAGTAGTCTTGATTAGTTCTGTATATGGTAAGTGCTTCTTACTGAAAATATGTTTGATGCCTACCTGGGAAATAACCAAGTTGTGGGATTATGCTTTGAGGTTTAAAATAACTATGACTTTAAAAACCTAATTAAAATCAAAGTATGCTTTGCTGTTCAAAATAAGCATGTAATAAAAATCTATTTCAAATCTATTTCAATTGGCATTAAATTAGAGAAACAAGACTGAGCTTCATTGGAATGTGCTTTGTTTACTTTCAAAGAGTGGAATATATAACAAAGTTCCATTTTTTAAGCTCTTTGGCATTAAAGCTAAAAGGAAAACTTTTGTCTTCAGTTTTATATTTATTTTAAAAATCTTCCAAATTAGGATAAAAATCTGATCCCAATATTTCTTTGCTTTGTCATAGGTCCACTAGAGGTGTTAAAAATACCTTTTTTATAATTACATTTCCAGCATATATTTGAAATTCCTTTATAGATCTTTGACAATTTTTCAATCCAATGATTCATCATTTTATAGCAATTTTCTTTCAGATTATAATTCAATATAAAGGTCATTCTACACATCCACATATTTTCCTATTGGTCAATCATTATAGCCACAATTTACCCATTCAATCATGCAGTCCTTAACACTGCAAATTCAGTTTCCACAACCTTTTGTAAACCTCATCCCTAATGATGAACCTCATGTTCATCATTAGCACACAATGTAATTTCCAATTCACTTTTTCCAAATTCAAAACCACAGCTTTTCCCATCTAACCTTATCCTATGCTATCTTATGCTATGCTATGCTATGCTATGCCATGCCATGCTATCTTAACTTTCACTTTTGAAAGAGCCATGACCCATTTTTTTTCATCAAACTTCCTAAGAAATATGCAAGTTGGGCTTCAGGTACAATAAATAGGTAGTAATAATAAAAAAGGGAACATTGTACTAAACAAACATTCATTTTTAGTACAGCAATTCTTCCCAGCAATAATATTTATAGTTTTCCATCTTAACATATCTGTAATTTTATTCCGTGTTTTAATATTGTTATTTTGAAACAACATACAATTCATATTTGTCATAACATCATAGCATAGATACCTCAAGGTTCTGTCTTAGACCCAGTACACTTCAACATCTTCATAACAGATCTAGATGAGGGGATAGAAGGGAAAATTATAAAATCTGCAGAAAACACCAAGATGGGGAGAAATCACTAATATCTTATATGATAGACTCAAGATACAGAAAGACATTGACAGAGTTGAACACAGGGCTCTATCTAAGAAAATGCAATTCAATGATGACTAAAGTAAGGTCATACACTTAGGTAAGAGAAATCAAATACACAAATACAGAATAGATGATACCTGGAGAGATGTAGGTGTCTTAGTAGAACACCAGTTAAGTATGAGCCAGCAGTGTGCTGCAGCTGCCAAAGAAGCTAATGCAGTCTTAGGTTGCATCAACACAGGGACAGTTCATGGTACTACTTTATATTGCACTAGTGAGAACCACACTTGGAATAATTTGTCCAATTCTGGACACCACATTATAAAATAGAAGTTGTGAAGTAAGAAAGAGTGAAGAGTAACAAAAATGATAAGCCGTCTGGAGGCTAAACCATATGATGAAAAGTATGTCTAGTCTAACAAAGAGAATGACTAGGAGTTCAAGTAGTTCAAGTAGTGTCTTGAACTACTTGAGGGGCTGTCACAGAGAAGACGGAGTCAATTTATTCTCCAAATTACCTGAGGGCAGGAAAGAAGTTATGGGTAGAAGATCTTTAAAAAGAGATCCAATCTAGAATGAAGGAGAAATTTCCTGACTGTAAGAACATTTAATCAGTGCAAAGGCGTGCTTCTGGACCTCTTTTGAAATCCGTATCATATTAAATCTTGAAAGCAACTTATATCTTTCTAATCAAATTCTCTTGCACAGCCTTTTTGGCCCCCCAAAATCTATCAAATGCTCTGTCTAGTAATTTTTTTAAAAAGCTTGCCCTGATTGTGCTTAATTTCATTTTCTGAAGATCTATCTCAGTAGTCATTAAATGGATGAAACAAATTACACCTTTCATCATGTAGCATATAAAGGGATGGAAGTTAATTTACACAGAACTAAGATTTTGATACTGGGAATTAAGCCCCAACTGATCACAGAGTAGTATTTTATAAACAATCTATAAAGAATTAACAGATTTTCTTATGAAAGTTGGTGTTTGATGGGGGATTGGAATTCAGTGATTACCCACAATTGGGCAGAAATTCTCAAATGAATATTAAAATCACTCAAGGCAAATTACCAAAAGATTTCTTTGATTTTGACGGGCAACTTAGGGTGATTAATGTATGCATGAAAATGAATTCAGTATACCAGATTTACCTAGAATACTTTTCTGTTTTAATCACTGCTATCAATTTATTGTACATGAAGTTTGACTTGTGTGTATATCAGGAAACTTGATTAAAAAAAGGCTCATGGCACTTTCAAGCCCTTTTCTCAGGAGAGATGTAAAAAATATTGAGAATTGGAGAGGACTTGATTATTTCCCCAAAGGTCCAAATTATAGGTTCCTTATTAAACTCAATTTTCAGAAAGTCAACCTAGTATGAGTACTTTTACCTATCTTCAACATATAATTTGTTGAATAGAGTATAGAGAGCTATCATTTGAATGATATCTATTTTAATCTTCATTTCAGTTCCAAGTTGTTTTATCTCTATTTAATTCCTAATAGTTTCTGTAATTTGTTCTCTTTTTTTTTTCTTCTCCCCTCTCCTTTTTCTTTGGAGTACTATGGCAACTTTCTTAGAGACCATATATGTAAGGATAATGAAAAAACAATGTCATATAGTTTAATGGTATATAGATAGTATATATTTTTGTATAGGGACATTTATCTTTCTCTGGATGGAAATTGTCAATAATAGGATGGAGTTGATAGCAATGACGTTTCTTGTGTTCCTATTCTGCATTACATGGAAAACATATGCTATCAATTGTAGCATACCTGATGACCCACTTCCTATACCCCATCACTTTGCTCAGCCAGGAAATGTTATCTTTGGGGCAATTGTCTCTCAAGCCTTTTTCTTTCACAACAGCCCCTCCTTCACAGAAGATCCCTCTCGGACATTGATCAATGAAGTGATGTAAGGAATTCTATTTTTTTTTCTCTTCAGACTAGTAAATTCAAAATAATTGTGAGAAAAAGAGTTAAGCAGCCGGATTATAATGAAATGTCTTTGAAAATTTTCATACCCACAATTTCATTGAGAGTTTTCTATTAATTAGTTTTCTCTTTCTTTGAAGTGTCAGAAGTTGGCTACTGAATAGAAACTGCATCAAATCTATATATGTTTCACACACTGCATCAAATCTATATATGCTTCTACTAGTGTTTGGTTTATGACTCATAAACCATTTATAATAGTTTATGATAATTTATCAGAACATCAGGCTAATAATATCAGTGCTTCTACCTATCTTCAAAATATCATTTGCTGAGTAGTATATAGAGAAGTGTCATTTGAAGCCTTTTTATTCCAGTCTTCTTATAATATTCTGGTATTACTATAACAGAACTAAGATACAAACAATCATACTCTCTGTTTTTGCAGATTAGTTCACTTTAGATAAGGGAATTTATCTTTAGTATGTGGAGTGATCAAAGAGGGAAAAGTGAAGAAATGAAGCTTTATTAACTGTAAGATATTGTAACTTGTGCAGAATCTTATTTAGTTTAAAGTAAATGAGGAAAATCATCTCACTTTTCTGTTCCAAAAAAAAAAAAAAAAAAAACAAAGATTGCAAAGTAGCTTCTGAAATACAAAACTCTTTTCCCCCAATGGCATTAGTACAAAGGGCATTAAAGAATTGAAGGAAGGTAGAAGTACAAACAAGCCACACATGCATGCATACAAACTGCACACGGTGAAAAAAAATTCACAGTACATGTCAGTATATGTGGTTACTGTCTAAGAGTAAGAATATGTGTAAGAATAATAAAAAATGATGTCATTGGAATTTAATCTTGTAGACACAGGAAAATTTTATGTTTAGAAAAATTTACATTTCCTTGGATGGCAATTGTCAACAATGATGATAACAGAATAATAGAGTTGAAAGGGACCTTGGATTTCTTCAAGTCCAATCCCCTACATTATTTCACACAAACGGTTGTCAAATCTCTAAAGTCTCTAGTCTGTGCTCTTCAGGCAGAAATTAGGTTTCCAGCTCAGCAGTTCTGTTCTGCCCCTCCTGTAGGAGAAGGGTAATATGGACAACCATGGAATCTGGAAGGGTGAGAGTCATGAACCACAAATACAAAGCTTTCGCTGTGTCCCTACATAACAGATACAGTGCCCTTGTTGACCTTAATAGGGATATGAAGGTGGCAAGTCAAGCTGGTTGTGATGATGATGATAACTCAAATGGCAGGAGAGATGAAATGTACTTGTTTTGAATAGGGGAAAGTGTGAATCAGGTATTACACATCAGTCATACAAGAAGAGCAAGGTATCTAAAAAGAGAAGCCACCTTCTGGTTGGTGGTTCAATTGTAAGGGAAGTCAATTTAGGAAAGAATGGGGATATTTCGAAAGAGGTCAGGTGTCTGCCAGGTGCTTCTGCCAGCAGAAACAAGAGGCATTTTTTAAGACAGTCAAGAATACCAGTAAGGACTGTGATGTTGATGCTGTCCCAAAGAGATGTATTCTCTATGCAGAATGATTTCCAGAGCTTGGGGCAGGAACTTAGTAGAATAGGTTTACCTTTTCAAGTAAACCTTTTACTTTTACCTAAAAATAAGGGGGAAAAAAAAGAAAAAAAGCCATTGTATAGTGGAGTTCAATGTGTGGCTAAAGGAGTGGTGTGAAGCAGAAGGCTTTGGTTATATTAGTCACAATGTCTGCACTGGTGAGATGAAAAATTGTACAATAGAGATTGTTTGCATCCATCAAAAAAGGGACTGAGTTACTTGGCATTAAATTCATGGATTTTCTGGAGAAACGTTTAAACTAAACAATGGGGACAAAGAGTTAATTGATACAGAACATTTCTGTCCACAGCAATCTAAAACTAATAGGGTTATCAGTACTTGTAACATAGATATTTGTGCGGTTAAGAATATCAACCTTGCTGTTAAGGAAAATCAAGCTTTTGATAGTGTGCCATAACGTACGCATTAATCAAACAGGTGGTAAGGAAGTAGGGAAATTCAGGCACAAAACACGTTATATAGAAAGTAAACACAGGGTCAATCAAAAAGGGCTCAAATGTCTATACACCAATGCACAGAGTATGAGGAATAAACAAGGTGAATTAGAAATTCAAGAAAATGAGGGCAGATATGATATTGTTGCCATTACAGAAACTTGGTGGGATGAAACCCACAAATGGAATATATAGCTAGAGGGATTTAAATTATTTAAAACAAACAGACCAAATAAAAGAGGAGATGGAGTTGTACTATATATAAGAAATAACTACATCTCTACAGAAATAAAGCATCACAATGATGAAAACTGTCTTGAATGCATTTGAGTCAATATAAATTGGGGGGGGGGAATGACATTGCCATAGGTGTATACTATGGGCCACTCAACCAAATAGAGGAAATATATGAACTTTTTGCTAGCCAGTTAATTGATATATGTAGAAAGCACATGGCAATAGTAATGGGGACTTTAACTACCCTGACATCAATTGGCAAGCAAACTCTGTAGGATCAAACATGTTCATGTCAAACTTAGAAGACAACTTCGTCTCCCAAAAGGCAGAGAAGGGAACCAGGGAGAACAGCCATTTTGGACTTAATTTTCACTAACAGAGATGAAATGATAGAAGGTATTGAAGCTACAGGAACATTGGGGGGGGGGTGATCATTCAATATTGGAATCGATATTATGCAAGGACAGGCAATAGAAGAAATTCAAAGTAGAGTCTTGGACTTAAGAGAGCTAATTTTAATAAACTTAGAGAGAACCTGGGAAGGATTGCATGGATGAGAATCCTCAAGGGAAAAACAACCCAAGGAGCAGAATAACAGAGTCAGAAGGGACCTTGGAGGTCTTCTGCCTCCAGAGGTTGTGAATGCTCCAACACTGAAAGTTTTAAATAAGCGATTGGACACCCATTTATCTGTAATGGTATACGGTTTCCTGTCTGATCAGGGGGTTGGACTAGAAAACCTCAAAGGCTCCTTCCAACGCTGTTATTCAGTTCCATTCTTCTTAAAAATTTCAATTGTTGGAACACCACAACTTCTGGTGGCAAGTCATTCCACTGATTAATTGTTCTGTCAAGATATTTTTCCTTAGTTCCAAATTGGTTGTCTCCTTGACTAGTTTCTATGCATTGGTTCTTGTCCTGCTTTCAGGTGCTTTGGAGAATAAGTTAACCCCCTCTTCTTTATGATACCCCCCTTGAATGGATAACATAATAATCTTGTTCACTCTTGGTGATTCTTTTTTTTTAATTATATTTTTTTATTTTTTTATTTTTCCAAACTCTTCCCCATACATATACCATGATATTTATCAGATGTTAACATACATTCTTTTTACATTCTTATATATAAGATACTTTTAATAAAATGAAATAAATACATACACATGACTTTTGATGCTGCTCGCCCATTTCCCCTTTCACTGTATCCACACTTCTTCTTCTCTACCTTCTTTCTCGCTTTCTTCTCTTTCTTCCCTACTTCCCTGTTCTTCCTCTCCTCTTCTCTTTTGTTCACCACTCTCCTCCCCTTTCTCCCCACTTCTCCTCTTCTCCTCCAACCTTCCTACTTCCTTCCCCCCTCCTTAATTCTATTCTCTCTCCTCTTCTTTCTTCCCTCTCATCCCTCTTCAGATACAATTTGGGGGTAATGTCTGAGCAACTCCTCTCTCCAAATTTTCTCTTACATTAATACTTCTATTTATCTAACCTTCTCGGTATATACTTCTATAAATATTTATACAACCTCCAGTTATTCAATACTTTGTCACCTGGGTCTCCCTCCTTATCTGCTCCTTCTTCTTCCATCTAAATTGATGTTAACTATCTTTTAACCGTAATCTCTTTTCAGCCAATTATAAAAAGTTCTCCAGATTTTATAGTAGTCTGACTCTGTCTTATCTTTAATCGTCATTGTTAGTCTATTCATTTCTGCACATTCCAGTATTTTCCCAATCACCTCTCCCTTTCAGTGCTTTCCAATTTTGTGCAAACACAATCCTGGCTGCCGTAATTATATGAATAATTAAATATGTTTTCTCTTTATTGTATTTCACTGGTAGAATACCCAACAGGAATATTTTGGTCTTAGTTCTATACGTTGTTGTATCATCTTTTCTATCCATGTTCTAATTATATTCCAATAAGTTTTAGCTTCTACACATGTCCACCACATATGGTAGAAGGAACCTGGTATCTGATGACATTTCCAACATTTCATAGATCTGTCCTTAAACATTTTAGCTAATCTTTCTGGAGACATGTGCCATCTGTAAAACATTTTGTACATATTTTCTTTATACGCAGTCGCCATTATCAATTTATAGTTTCTTTCCCATAGTTGCTGCCATCTATCTAATTCAATTGTGTATCCAAAATTCCTTGTCCATTTTATCATTGTTTTTTTCACTTGTTCCTCCTCTAATTCCATATGTAGTAGATAACTGTACATTTTTAAATCCATTTTTCTTCCATTCCTGTGAGTATTTCATCTAACTCTGTTGTCCCCAAATTAACACCATCTATTTTAACATCTTTTTCATATCTAGATTGTATTTGCGTTCTCATGTACCAATCCATCTTTATTCCTTGTTCCTCTAATTGTTGTTTGGTTTTCAACTCCCCCATATCTGTTAGTAAGTCTTTATATCTTATAATGTTTCCCATGTTAAGCATATTGGGTGTATTAGCGCCTCCGTAGTTGAGAGCCAATTTGGAATCTTCAAATAGTGCTTTCTCTTTCCTTTCTCCAGACCACAAATAAAGAATTCCTTATATGGTGTCTCTGGAAATAGCTATGTATTCTGTTTTTTCCATATCATATGAAAGCATGCCATCCCAACTGTAAATCATGTCCCTCTAATGTCAATAATCTTGTATTCCTCAGTAAGATCCATTCTCTCATCCATGATAATGCTGCAGCTTGATAGTACAATTCCCAATTAGGTAGACCAAACCCACCTCTCAATCTTGTATCTTGTAACATTTTTAGATTAATCCTTGCCTTTTTTTCCCTGCCAAATATATTTCAAGCTTATTATATTAAGCCCCTCAAAATATTTCTTATTTAATCTTATTGGTATAGTTGAAAACAAAAACAATAATCGTGGT